ATTGCTGAACTTTTGCTAATTTTATAATTTGCTATCTGTCTAATGGTTGCTTAAGATAACAGAATGGATAGCTACTGTTTCGCAGAAGACCAATGGGACATTCGCAATTTTTTGGAAGCTAATCGAATGGTTGCTTGTTAAAATACCGATGTTTTTAATGGTTGCATCATCATTTATGTTTAGCTTTTCACGTGTTTATGCTGACTACTCTACTAAGGCGCTGGTTTACTTTTGCTTCCCGTATGTTATTATTTCTCACTTGGTTTCCGTGATTCAGAAGTACTGTTGTTTCTCCTCGTGATTTTGACTAAGAAGTAATGCTTAATAGTTTTGTGAAAATTTTTAAAATTTTTTAGGAATATTTCTTTATCAACTTCAATTTTGGGCCAATTGTGCAGATTTTTGAATCGTCAATAATTGTTTTTATTTTAGCTTGGTGGTTTTTGTGATTTTCTTCTTTTTTGAAATTGCGCACACGGCTCACCGATTTGTATCCACCTTGTACTACGTTATAAAATCCCGAGACCTAGGAAGTGCGTCGTCTGCACCACTTTTATATTCTCAATTTCCCGGACCTCCGTCACTTCTCGATATTGATAATGTGGCTCATATGTGCAGCATAAACCCGAGTGTGTATATCAATTTTTCAGTGGTTTGAACGAACGAAGAAGAACATTTAGTTGTTTCATATTTATACAATGTAACTTAGTCGTTGCGGATTGATTTTAGATCAGGTCAGGGAGGAGGTTTCAGTATTATCCCGCGATTTCAATTTGCGACTAAAGCGTTGCATATTTTCTGGGTTATCTACAGCTTACTTTTCTATATTCATTCCATATGTATTCACACCGGTAATTTTATTTAATTTCAATTTTTTTTAATCTATTCTTGCTTTTGCCTCTGGGTCATATTATGGAGGTTTTTTTCAGCTTTTTGTTCTTCTGATGTTTTGTTTCTTTTATCTGAGCAGTAAGAGGAATCTTTTTTCCAATAATTACTGTGCT